GTGTGTGTGTGTGTGTGTGTGTGTGTGTGTGTGTGTGTGTGTGTGTCTGTGTGTGTCTCCTGTCGTGACACAGGAGAATCCTTGTAATTCTCTGTCCACCTGTTCAGGTCCTGGTCTCGCCTGTGCATTCTGAAGGCCAGGAACCGTGTTACAGTCGTCCTGTGTCTTCACACCTTTTAGGGGCCTAACGTTGTGGACACTCAGTAGGTTTATTGGGTGAATCTTTATCCCTCATAATGGGTTTTGTAGTGTTTTATGCTGCTCTTGTCCTCTGGGTGGCGAAGACTGTCTCCCCAAAGCCTTGCGAGGCTGCCTGTGTGTGTTGGAGGCGGTGGGACTCACTCCTTAGCCGAGCTCGGCCCCAGCAGCACTGAGAGACACTCTGGCCTCCAGTCCCTTTTGATCTTCTCTTGAGGCTTCATTTATTTCTTTCCTTTAAAGTGTGTATTAAAGCTTTCTAAGCCATAGTGAGACTGAAAGTGTTCAGAGTTACTGGATTCTTTGATATCCATTGCTTCTCTGAGAGACTGTGTGTAGCATGACTTTCTGTAGAAGCGACTGTATGTGATGGGAAATTCTATTTCATCTTCTTTGAGTCACTTGTATTCAGCTAAATTGCATCAAAGCACAGACTTAATGCCGGAATGGAACACAACTATGTTCAAGCACAGCCTGGCCGGGTCTTCCTTTAGCTACCGTGCATGTCTTTAGATCATGAGTCTTCATGTCTCAGTTGGTTCTCCTGTAGGCTGTCCGGAGCACACATGGCTTGGAAGTTCCATTAAGCCATAAGGGAAAACTGATGGTGACAGAGGAATACATCGGCTTCCTGTTAAATGTGGCAAATCAAAAAATGGAGGAAAACAAGAAAAGAATTGAAAGGTATGCTAACTGGGTATCTTCATGCTATTCTTTTTTTGTTTAATCCATGTTATTCTTATGTGCTCTGGTCATCCTTAAAAATATTAGTACCCACCCTCTCTGGCTCATAATGCCAACTGCTTGTCTACTTGTAGCCTTATCTTGGATACAAAGAAACAGTCAGAGGACTGGAGGGGAGTGAGCAGGCTGTCATGGGCACGACATGGAGCTTAAGGGGAAGGCTCTCCGGGGAGGGTGGGCGCAGCCCCCAGACGCAAGCGTGAAGGAGAGACACAGAGTCGTCTGGGAAGGACTCACCACCACAGGTGCCACAGCTGGTCATGCTGAAGACAGTGGGAAGGTGGGCACGCTGCCCCTGAGAGCCAGCTCCAGATCACCCGGAAGGTCCTTTGGAGGGAGCTGCCCAGTTGGCTTTTGTCTGAGAAGTGTTTTGCATCTCTGGCGAGGCCGGCCACGACCCAACTCTTGTCATGGGTGAGATCTAGAACTGCTGTCACGGTGACAAGTGGGAAGCAGTTCACGTCTTTATCTCGTCTTCTTAACCTTCACCTCCTGGCAAGCGAGATTCTTAGAGTGCTTTCATTTTCTGCTTTTTCCTAAGAATATAGTTTGCATGTGAAAAAGTAAATATCACGCGGCCTTTCACACATACAGATAATGCCACTCACCCACCCTCAGCCAGATGTTCAGCTCTGAGATATCCCAGGAGCTGTGGCCAACTGGCCATCTTTTGTCCTTCCTTTTCTCCTTCTCCCCAGCCCCTGGGCCACCTGGCATCCTGGCCATCACTGCCTAAGTATCTCTTCAGTCACTTCTGCCTCCACCCCTGTTGTTACTTTCTTTATTGAGGGCCATTGCCGTAGCCTCATCAGCTGCTCCCATAGGATGCTTCTGTCTGTCTCTGTTAAGCCCATCTCCAGTCATACTCAAATCGTGTTTGTAAAGTGCAAAGGAATCCTGTTGCTTCACTTGCCTGCTTGAAATTCTTTCATTCCAAGAACTTTTTTGTTTAAGTCTGGGTCTCACTCTGTTGTCCAAGCTGGAGTACAGTGGCACAATCATGACGATCACGGGTCACGGCCACCTCAGCCTCCTGGACTCAGGCAGTCCTTCCACCTCAGCCTGCCGAGTAGCTGGGGCTGCAGGCACGCACCTCCACACCCGGCTGATTTTTTTTTTTTCTAATTTTTTGTGTGCGGAGATGAGGTCTCACTATGTTGCCCAGGCTGGACCCCAACTCCTGGGCCCAAGCGGTCCTCTCACCTTGGCCTCCCAAAGTGCTGGGATCCCAGGCGTGAGCCACCGCACCTGACCCCGGTACCTTTCTTGAAGCAGCGAAGGCCAGCAGTGCCAAGGGGAGCCGTGTGGCATGGCGAAAGAGGTAGAACTGGGCTTCTGAGACAGAGCGGGGTTCAACGCCAGCTCCACCAAGGTCCTCAGGCTGGGCCCACAGAGTTGCTCAGGGCGGTGGGCTTCACTTTTCTTATCTCTAGCTTGAGGGAGATGCCGGTCTCAAAAGCTAATTATTTTGTTAATTAGGTAACATATGTATAAGCACTGGCCCTGACCCTGTCATGTCATGGGCTCTCACGATAGGGTAATAACCCTTCTCCTTCATTGATTCATGATTCATGGAGAATGAAAGTACCAGCATGCAGGCTTTCTCGACTGGGATTTCTTACCTGAACCACAGAATGTAGGGAATTGTAGGAGGAACTATTTTCTCAGTTTTCCCAAGGATTATCTATGACGGGTACCGTTTTAGATATGCTGGAGAGAAGATAATTCCTCACACACAGTGGATATCTGAGGGCACCCGAGCTTAATTTCTAGCTGAACCCTGGTTGAAAAGACCGGTCCACGAAATGCTTTGGGTAGGTGTACTCCCTGCGGTGATCACTCCAGGCCAGCAGCTGAGGAGCGCCCAGCCACAGGCCAGGCCACAGCGTCTGGTCTGCGTGTAGGCACTTAATGCTGCTGCTGTAGAGCTCCACCGCGAGTGCTGGAGAGTAATCCAGTGAGACTGCTGAAACAGAAGAGATAGCAAATGAATTCCCTCTGTTTCCTTACTTGAATTTCAACAAGCTTATAAATATAGCCCAAGAGCAACTAACTATACACCTGGTGAAGTTAATTGAGCCACGTTCACCAACTATAAAATCAAATTATGCTGTAAATCCATTGACTCAAAAACATGTTTTGAGATTATAATGTGCATGCTGCCATCAAGAGCCACGCTCATCATATGAAATCAGGGAAAAATTAAAGGAGGGTAAAAAGTGTCTCAAGATGCTGATTAGAAGATCACACGTGAATTCAGAAAGTGCGCACAAATTAGGGGGCGCTTGGGAGCAGCTGTAACTCAACCAAATGCTGAGAAAGAGTCTTTTCATGTCGAAAGAGAAAAAATAAACACTGGCGGTGTGACGCGTTATACAATCAGACATCGAGGGCCATAATTGGTGTCTCACAGGACCCAAGTTCCACAATTCAGATATCTGGAAGAGAATTTTGAAAACTCAAAAAAGTTTTGAACAGTTCAGCAACAAGAAATAATCTGGAAACATGAAAATCAAAGAGTAAACTGTTTTTAATAGAAAAAGGGTCTTGTTTGTGGAAACAGTTCCCAAACCCACTCCCTGGTGGAAAGAGATCTATCCAGCAGGATCAACCAGGCTGCTCTTATTTCTGGAGCTGGGAGGACAAAGCCTAGAGGCACCAGCCTGCTTAACAAGCACTGACTCGGAGGCTGGAAGAGAAGGGACCGACATCAGACACAGTACAATAACTTCATACAGCACAATTTCCATGTGAAAAATAGAAGACTTGGAGATCTATTTACTAAGTACAAGAGAAAGGCTGTCCTTGTATGTGTTTATCAGAGGCCAAGACGTGGGTCAGATGAAACCACCGTTTGGCTATGCGTAGCTTACAGTTTGCTGTGTTCTTTCATCAACCGTGTAGTAAGAAAATATTAAATAAAATGTAGACTATAAAAGCGGAATATATTGGCATATAGCATTACTGATAAGAGTAAACCAAACCTGAAAGAAAGTAATTGAACCCACTTCCAGTGGTTGATTTTTTTTTTTTTTTTTTTTACTTATTGTGGTAAAATATACATAATTTGAAATCTACCATTTAAACCAGTGTCGGTAAATACATTCACATTGTTATGCAACCATCACCACTGTTCATCTCTGGAACTTTTTCATCATCACAAACTAAAGCTCTGTACTCATTAAACTCTAGCTCCACTGGGAACCACTATTTCATTTTCTGTCTCTATGAATTTGACTGTTACGAGTATTTCCCATAAGGAGGATTATACAACATCTGTCCTTTTGTGTCTGGCTTACTTGTGCCTTAGCTGATGCAAGGTCGTCTGTGTTGCAGCGTGTGTCAGAATTTCATGTCTCGGGGAGGCCGAACATACCTTGTTGTGTCTGTAGGCTGCATTTGGTCCATCCATGCATTTGTCAACAGTCACCTGGGTTGTTTCCACCTTTGGGTTCTTGTGAATAATGCTGCTCTGAACATCAGTAGACAAACATCTGTGTGAGTTCCTGCCTTCAGTTCTTTTGGATATATTCTCAGAAGTGGAATCACTGGATCTTATAGTAATTCTGTGTTTGATTTTTAAGAGCCACAATACTGTTTTCCATAGCAGCTGCACCAGTTTACCTTCCCATCTCCTGTGAGAAGTTGTGCTACATCCTTGACAACACTTATTATTTTCTGTTTTTTGATACTAACCATCCTAGTAGGTGTAGAGTAGTATCTCATGTAGTCTTGCTTTGTATTTCCCTAACAGTTAGTGATGTTCAACATCCCTAATTGACTCATGGACCCTCTGTCTATTTCTTTTGGAGAAATACCTATTCAAGTCCTTTGCCATTTTAAAGATTGGATTATTTGGTTTTTGTTGTTGAATTATAGAAGTTCTTTACATATTCTGAATATTAATTCCTTACCAGATATGTGATTTGCGAATATTTTCCCCATTCTGTGGGTTGCCTTTTGACTCTTGGTAGTGTCTTCTGATGCACGGAGGTTGTAGACTTGGATGAGGGCCACTTTATCTCTTTGTGGCTGTGGCTGTTGCCTGTGCTTGTAGTGTCCTCTCCAAGAAACTATCGCCAAATTTAGTGTCGTGAAGCTTTTTCCTGTTTTCTTCTAAGACTTTTATTGTTTTAGTTTGTACATTTAGGTCTTTGAGTTAGCCCCTGGTTGATTTTTAATGCGAATAAGTAAGTGAAGGCTGGTAAGACCTCTTTGTTGCTGTTTTTCTGCCTCAACGGCTCTCCAAGCTGCAGACAGGCTCCACGGGTTGCCCAGCCCAGCTCTGTCCTCCGCCGTTCCCAGGCAAGACGGGACTCGGTGCTTGGCGTCATGAATGCCAGGTGTGTCCAGAGTAGCCTTTAGTTTTTCATCAAGGTGACAGACTGGGTGAGGATGAGTGAGTATTTACTTGCTCTTTCAACAAATGTTTACATAATGGGCCTATCACGTTCAAAGGACTGGTAGGTCCTGGAATTCAGAGAGGGAGCCCACACGGATCTTGCTGTGACAGTTCTAGTAAGTAGCTTACTTGGGAGTTCAGAGAGCATATAAATAACTACAATTGAACATAAAAAGGGGTAAGTGCCCTAAGAAGCGTATGGAACACTCAGGGATTTTGAAAGCGGAAGCAGCTAGACTCGTGTGTGCGGAACAAGCGTGATCCGTGACGTGGACTTAAAGGGCAGGCAGGACTTTTATTGGAAGAGCCCCGGGGAAGTCGCCCGGGCTGGGGAGCTGTGTGACGGGCGGAAGGAACAGCGTGAGCAAAGAAAAGGAGGTGGCAGTGCGCAAGCCATGGATGGGGATCAGCGAGTGGCTCGACTTACCTAGAGAATGGGAGGAGTGAGCACTCCCATGACATCACTGCGCGATTTCCTTTCTGCTTATGGTGGTCCTTCTCTGCTTCCTTGGGCCTTTCTCTTCTTATGCTGCCTCTT